GGAGTCTGCTTCTCCCTCTGACCCTCCTCTCTCTCATTCTCTCTCTCTCAAATAAATAAATAAAAATCTTTAAAAAAAAAAAAGAAATCTTTAAAAAAAAAAAAAAAGAAAGATTAGAGTATTATATTTGAAGCAAATTAAAAATTGTAGCCTCAGTAAGAATTATTGATATCTTTTTCTCTAAAATTTTTAATGAGAATTTGTGTTTGAAGGTTGGGTTTGGCTATCTCTTGCTGCACTGTGAACTACTCCAAAATCTGGTGTCTTAAAATGATAGCATTTTTATTTACTCATAATTTTGCAATCTGGACTGGGTTCAGCTGGTGGATTCTTTGGTCACTGGTGTGGCTGCTATCAGCCAGCAGGTAGACTTAGCTGGGTTTCTGTCTCTTTCCATGTAGTCTTAGAGCCTCACTCTTTTCACGTAACCAGTCCCTGTTGGTGGCCTTACGCGGTGACTTAGGACTCTGATGAGCACAAAACCAGAAGCTACCAGACCTTTTTAACACTTAGGCTCTGAATTGGCACAGCATTTCCTCTGCCACATTCTGTGTGTTAAAGCAAGTCACACACCTTGCCCAAAATGAAGAGGAAGTGACTATACATGCATACATATACAAAGAAATATAGTTTTATTTGGGGCCACCAATGTAAATATTGCAACAGCTGATTTCCTTAGATTTGATTATTTGCTATTATTAACCACTAGACATGGTTAGGAAGAATCATTAATCCACTAGCACTTTTTTAAAGAATTTATTTATTTGAGAGATAAAGAGAGTGGGGGGATGGGCAGAGAGATGGGGGAGAGAGAAACCGAAGCAACTTGACGCTGAGCGCAGAGCCACATTAAGCTCCATCTTACAACCCTGATGAGATCATGACCTGAGCTGAAATCAGGAGTTGGACACTTAACCAACTGAGCCACCCAGCCGTCTCTTGCACTTTTTTTTTTTTTAAGATATTAGTTTTTAAATCTCTACACCCAATGTGGGGCTCAAACTCATCACCCGCAGATGCTCTACCAACTGAGCCCACCAGGCATCCCCACTAGCACTTTTAAGTGTGAACTAAATTGGCTTTAGTTTCAACCTCTGCCTTATATTTTTTTAGTACTTATACTCTTTGCAAATAATTCTTTTTCTTCCAATTAACTATTAGGGATGCTGTACAAGATTTTCTTCATGAAATATATTTTTTACCTGATCATCCAGAATTAAAAAAGATAAAAGCAGTTCTACAGGAATATAGAAAGGTATTTAATTTTTTATTTATGTGTTAGAAGATCACTGGTACAAAATTGTTCCCAGATTCCAATCTTTGAACAGAGGTTCTTTAGAATCATATCTAGAGATAATATAGTACTTTTCTGATAGCTAATTTTGACAATTAGATAATCCTATCACAAATTACGATTTTTAGAAGGAAGTTTTAGCATTTAGATAAAGATGTTATTGCATTACAGAAAACAGAGAGCAAAGAATACAGTACTTGTGACTTTACTTCCCAGGTCAATATGTCCCTACTTACAGTTCCCCAAAGAAGAAACTACCATAGCTTCATGCCCTGAAAAGCTGTGGGAGAATTCTAGTTATTTTGTGCTACAAACGATGGTATGAAATTGTCAAATCTTACTGATTCCTGAGCTTTAGAAGGGGAATAACCTGTAGTTCCATCATCTTGAAGTCCAGTGAATTCTCCGAAATTATGAAAGTATTAATGGTGATTCCATAGAATTTTAGGGCAGAAAGTGGGATACCTGATGTTGGGTCAGAATAGCAGAAGTATTTACTATATACCCCAAGCTTGGTTCTGAGGTCTTTATTTTCTCTTTTACTGGGTAACTCATCATAGTCATAAGAAAGTAAGTAATCAAAGTAAAGAGTGAATTATTCATTTGTGTAATTTAGGTTTAGTTCAAAGCTATTATGTAGTCTTTTGTAAGTTAAGGGAAACATGTATTTCTTACCAGGAAGGATTTCTTTTAGATAAGTAGATTCTTTATTTGATCTGAATAAAATTTTTCTCCAGGTCTAAAGGTTTTAGAATGAAATCCCTTTCCCAAGAATTACTAAAAATGACATATGTGTATGAATGAAGAAATGGAAATTATTTTCTTAAGATTTTACTTATTTATTTTTTGGGGGGAGGGGCAGAGGGAGAAGCAGACTCCCCGCTGAGCAGGGAGCCCGATGCAAGACTTGATCCCAGTACCCTGGGATTGTGACTTGAGCCGAAGGCAGACGCTTAACCGACTTAGCCACCCAGGTGCCTTTGTTACCTCTTTATTTTTTAAAGCTGCTTTTAATTGGGGTATAGTTTACCACTTTAATGGTAGCTCTATAGGGAATCCAGACCTTCTGAAATGGTTTCTGAAATCATTAACTGATAAGGTGTATCTCTCTGTGTTCTTTATATAGGAGACCTCGGAGAGTACAGATCTTCAGACAACTCTTCAATTATCCATGAAAGCAATTCAACATGAAAATGTAGATGTTCGTATTCATGCTCTTACGAGTTTGAAGGAAACTTTGTATAAAAATCAGGTATACTAAGATCCTAAGATATAATTACAAGGTATAGAAAAGAAAGATGTTTAAAGAAGTTTAAAGAAAGTTTAAAGTTTAGTTTCAAGAAAAGATGATAGGTTAGCATATTTGGTTGAGATTCAGTGGGTTCAATGAAAGAAGTAATTTTTATTTTACCGAGATTGTCAGACCTGACTTAGAATCACTAATCCATGAGCTACTCTGTGAGGCTGAATACCAGGGATGTGCAGAGTTTCTTGTTGTTGTTTTGAAGGGTCATGATTTGACAGTTACGTTTTAGGTTATTGCATCTTCCCCAGTGAGGGCGTATGTGTGCAACAGCAGTGGTTCATGTGCCTTCTCATATACTTTCCTATAGATATCTATCATATAAAATCTCAGTAATGTTGCCATTTTACATTTTGACAGAATTAACTTTTAGTTTTAATGAAACTAAATTTTTTAATTTTACTTTTTCATGATGCCAGTGAACTTTATTCTTTTCTTTGGCAACATACTATAGATTAGTTCTAACCTTGATGACAGTGAGAACTGGTATTTAAAATACTCGATCACTGTAAAGCTATAAAATAGAAAAAAATTATCTGAGGTATTTGTTTTTGCATGTCAAGAACTTATATGACAAGCTCTGAAAGTGAAAAGACCCTCATGAGTTACCACAGGTGAGGAGCCTTGAATCTCCTTAAGTATAAGTTTTATGCTCTCCTAACTCTGAATCTACATTATCAATCTTACAGCCTCATTCCCTGCCCTCCACTTACTTCAGTGAAACTACTGTGTGCTTACCCTTGCCCCAAACAAACCTTTACCTGGATTTCAGTAACTTAGAGGGCCTCTAGCTTTTTATATTAATAAAGGGATTTATGAATAGCGAAGGATCTTTCCTCTTGGCCTAGAGGTTTCCTAGGTTAGGTTATTTCTAAGCAGATGACATGATTCTGGCCTAATTTAAGGAAACTTTATATTGATCATTACCTCTTAGATATAAATGGCTAAATCTGAGAATTTAAGGAGATTGCTTATATTCTTAGGGAAAAGCCACAATTGCCCAACTTTGTCACAAAAGAAAAATCACATCTGGTAATACCCTGAGAAGCCTTCCTTCAATGTGAAGCCCCAGTGCCAATAGATTAGCTAGGCAGAGTAAGAAGGTAAGTGTACTTGCAGGAGTCTTGAAGATCAGATAGAGTCTGAGTAAGATGTAATGGCCACAGATTGTTATAGGATATTTTAAAGTAAGGTCTAATCTAGTTTAGAATCAATATATAACTGGATAAATTTACTTTAGGTTAGTAAGAAGAAACCAAAGACAATGGCTTAGAGGTGTCAGGGAAATTAAGAAAAGAAGGGAAGACATCCAGAGACACATGTCTTCCCAGGTATATCCCCACAGATACTGGCCTAAAACACCTCACAAAAAGAGAGAAGGAAATGTTTTGTTTTTTTCCAAGTATGGCAAGAAGGTAACGTCAGTGTTGAAAGCAATCAGTTAAGTTCTAGAATAACAGTGTCCAAAAGAATTTTCGGTGAAGATGGAAATGTTCTGTACGTGCACTGTCCAGTTGTAACTGCTAGCCACATGTGGCTCTTTTGAGCACTTAAAATGTGTGATTAAAGAACTGGATATTTAATTTTATTTAATTTTGTTTAATTTAAATTTAAATAGCTTCATGTGGATAGTGGCTATGATAATGGACATTGCAGCTCTAGAATATGGCTGAACCTATAGCAATACGAGAGCAAGAAACTGATGTAAGAAAACAGGCTTAGAAGTCAGAGTCTTTGTAGTGAATGCTGTGAGAGTCCATGAAAGAACAAATGCAAAAGATACTCTTTTAAAAGTTCAGATCTTAACCAGAGGGAGAGGAAAAGATACTTCATGAGTACGTTGAAAGGAGGTGTTTTAAATAATTAGATCTAAAGTTGTGGTATAACTGGCTAAAGAAATAATTGGGTATAATGTAGTGACGAAGTAAACTCTAAAAGATGGTGTGACAGTTAATAAGATGATGCTACTGTAGCCTTAGATACTTGACTGTTTTGATGGACTGATCCTGCAAAAGCCCTGTTCTAATGGGGAGCCCCCAGAGGGTCATTGACATTAAAGAAATGACAGTTTATACTCCTTACTTTTAAGGAGGCATCTACATTTTTGAAGGATAAAAATGACACCGAAGGTCAGTGGATAGCAAGAAGTTTTTATTTCTGTGTCAGAAAAATCAGGCTGTAGATCAAACTGAGCAACTATATAATCTCTTTCTGAAAATTGATCCTACTCATGTTGAGGTGAATGTCTATGGTAAAATCCCAGTAGGACAGGGCGTTTGTATTGAGGCCAAAATAAACTTTGCTGCTAATGCAGAATTCCAGTAAAAAAACAGATTTGCTAATGATTACAAATCCGAGAATGAGCCCATTGAAAATAAAGCTGCTAGAGACCTCCAAGTTATACTAGGATAATATTGGAAGCCTAAATCTGAATCTCTACATACCCTCCAAAGCATAGAGAGCGACAAGGAGAGCAAGTAAATCCACATATAATTCATACCTTCAGTATAACTGTGAGACTGCGAATACTATGAACTTCAGATTACGTATAAGCAGTGGAGCTATCTGGAGCTCATGTCACAAGTTTATGTTAAGAGCAGTTAGATTCTGAGAAGACTATATGAAAAAGAAGAGAGTGGAGTGGAGGAACCAAGGATAATGAAGCAAAGATAAAATCAACAAAGATGGTCCCACTCAAAAAGTAGGTCCAGGATGTGGCACATCAGAGCTCTGGCTACAAGGAAGATACTTTAAAGTGTACAGATCCTAAGGCTGTAGTCTCTGAAAATCATTATGTCTGGGGAGAACTGAAAGAACAGGAGGATGGGGACATTCTTTGGAGACTTAATTGTAAACGTAAAGAAGAAAGTAAGAGAGTTTTAAGGTTCCTGTCGAAATAAAAAGAAATCTATAAGATCACAGATGTGCCAGATTCTCCCCCTACTCTCCTTCCCCAAAAGCTACTTATGAAAAAAACTATATTTCACTAGGCTGACAGAAGAGAGTATTCATGAAATAGGAATCTTGCAAGCCACTATAAAACCCTTACTGTTACTGCATACAGCTATTATAGAGGGTCTACAGTATAAATAAAAAAATATATTCTATACATATAAGGTTTTTGTAAGACAAAAAAAATGAAAATCAAATCTTTTGGTTGATATCAGTTCCTCCCTCAATGCTAACCATTAAGCAGAAGAAAACTAGACTTAGCACTACAGCCTGAATTAAATATTTCAAACAATCGTTTGCAGATACGAAAAGAAAATTAAATGAAAAATTTAAAAAGCAAGAGAAATGGACAAAAACCAAAAAGATGTGAAATAAGAGGTGACTGAATTCAGAAAAGAAAAACTTAAGAAATGAAGATTAAACTATAAGGACCACAGGAGAGGATATATTTGTTTTTTGTTTTGTTTTTGTTTAAAGATTTTATTTATTTGACAGAGAGAGCCCAAGTAGGGGAGCAGCAGCAGAGGGAGAGGGAGAAGCAGGCTCCCCGCTGAGCAGGGAGCCCGATGCGGGGCTTGATCCCAGGACTCCGGGATCATGACCTGAGCCGAAGGCAGACGCTTAAGCACTGAGCCACCCAGGTGCCCCGAGAGGATATATTTGACTATTAGTAAGGAGCACTGAGGAAAGGCAAAAAAATAACCAAGAGAATGAAAAAGTTTAAAAAAGGAGTGAATAGGATCAAAAAAGTGGTTGAAATGGAAGGTTTTCAGATTTCACATACACTAAATTAGAGTCTCTGAAGAAGAAAAATAAAACAACAGAACAGAATTAATATTTAGAACTATAAGAAAACTTCTGAAAGAAAAAGGCCTAAATCTACATGTTGAAATGACCCAATTGTGTACCTGAGAAAATTGACCTCAGAATAGTCAAGTCTGATAAATACTTTAGACTTTAATAATAAATATTCAGGACCTACAGGCAAAAATGTTTTTTGAAAAATCCTTAGAAGAATATGATAAGTAGGTTAGACTCAGACTTCTCAACACAGTAGCTGAGAGGGTAGCGCAGTTTTTAAAATGTCAAGGGCATAAAGTATGAGTAAAGAATGAGTCAAGCTATCCTTAGACTAACACAGGTAAGAAACACAGTTGTAAACATACAAGAATTGAAGGAATACTGTTTGTATAAGCAAAACCTTCCTAAGAGATATATTAGAGAACGGCTTCAGGTAATCAAGAGAAGACTGGGGAGACTTTGGCAGAAGGACTGATGTTTACTGTTCATATATAATTATAGAATTAAGACTAAAGCAACATTGAGAACAAAGATGGGGGAATTACATATGAATGTTAAATATTCTAATAAAGTAGAAATAATGTAATTTTTTTAAATGGGAGAAGAGAAACAGTGAGATATAAATAAAATAAGCCCAGTAATTGTTGCATAGGCAAAAACTGGGAGCCAAGATACACCCTTTCAAGCTGGTAAAACAGTTACATAAGGTTAAATAAGAAAAAAGGACTGGAAACGTTAAAAAAGGTATTAGTATAGAGGATGCCTTTAGAACAAAAGTATCAACTTTCTGCCGTACTAAAATAATTTTTAAAGCAAATAAAACACACCAGAGGAAAAATACAGTTATTATAATACATACAGTATTGTAAAAAATATGACAGAATTGAGGCCGAAGATATCAGTCATATTAATAAATGTGAGAGACCTTAAAAGAAAAGAATTTATAATTTGACTTACAATGCAAAAACAAACTCTATGCTATATGCAGTACATACATCTAAAAAGAGTAATTTAGGAACGCTAAAAATAAAGAGATGAACAAATTTATAACCAGTAAGTGGAAATAATAAGAAAGCAGGAATTCGCATTCTGCCACTAGATGGTAAAGAATTGAAACCAAAAAAGCATTAAATATGACAGAAAAAGGGCACTTCATAATGCTAAAAGCCATAATTCATGAAGAAGATACAAAATTCACAAAGAAGATACATTATAAATACATATGTATATATTCTCCTGAATGAGCAGTCCAAGGAGACAGAAGGTAGATTAGTGGTTTCCTGTGGCTGGGAGGATGGGGGAAATGGGGAGTGACCACTAAGAGGTACAGTTACCGGGGCGCCTGGGTGGCTCAGTTGGTTGAGCGACTGCCTTCGGCTCAGGTCATGATCCTGGAGTCCCGGGATCGAGTCCCACATCGGTCTCCCTGCTCGGCAGGGAGTCTGCTTCTCCCTCTG